TTTTTTTTTTTTTTTTTTTTTTTTTTTTTTTTTTTTTTTTTTTTTTTTTTTTTTGAAATATTGTGTCTGTGTCGTGACGCTTCAGGAACCAATAACTTCACAAAAATCAGACACTTATTTTTGCGTCTGGGTATTTTATTCATTAATTTATTATTTTATTAAGTAAGGCCTGGTGTGGGCCCGTCGGATCTCTGCCGTTAGATGCGTTGTGATCTTAAACACGAAGAAACACGTGATTGAAGTTATAAGAATTGGGCCCCACTCCCCAACCAACGGCCGTGATTTAACGCTTGGCATAACATGATACGAAAATTGTGGGCCATGTTCCAGACACCACATGCCCCACATGGTCCTCCCAATTAATTTTAATTTTTACTGGAAAATTTCCTCTTTTTTAGTTCAATAAATAAAATTTTTAATTTTTTTTAGTTGAGGTATAAATTACCGATAATTCATATTATTGGAATAATATAAACTTTTTTAAATAGATAATTAAAATGTTTAATTTAACAATTATTATTATTATTATTTAGCAATTTAAATATTCGATATTTCAGGTTTTTTTTTTTTCCTTCAAAATATTGGCTTAATATTATCTGATCCACTGAAAGAGCGCCACGTGGAGAAAATTGAGTAACTATGACACAGGCAAACACAATAAATTGCTAAAGGTCCCACGTGGCTACCGTCACCATCATGATAATCCGCCCAGACGTCACATCAGATTGGAGGAGCACCATAGTCTTGCATGGACCTCATCCACACCCAACAACTACCCTGACATATTTAATGCTCTACCGCCCGTAACAAAAACTACTCTCAAAGACTGGACAAGCAATCTAGTGCAATCTGCTCTTCCCTTTTACCCATTTTTCACGCTCCAAGCTTCAAATCAAAGACCTGTCGATTCGCGAATCTGCCCTATAACCGACTCTTTTTCACTGTTACGATCCTCCCTGCCGGAGTTTCTTCGCCGATTTCTGGTTCTCCATGTAGTTGTAGTGGACGGACTGTGGTACGGCGGAGCAATGGCGACGGCATTGGAGTGCTGGTCGAGTAGGGCTAGTACTGATGAGGATGTGGTGGAGCAGGTGCTGATGAGGACTCAGGATAGATCGGAAGGCTCCAAGGCAGAGAGTTCTTTTGGTGTTGGAGTGAAGGAGTCGTCGGCGATGCAGAAACGGTTGCAGAGATTGAGTCGGAATGTGTCGGAGGCGGTGGCGTCGATTAAAAACTCGTTGAATCTGGACTCTGTTCGCGATCCTTCGCCTTCGAGAACCGAGGGGTCTAAGAAGGAGGTTTGGGGGAGTGTTGTACGGAATCTTACTCTGCTTTATCCTGGAAGTCAGTTGCCGGAAAAGCTCGTCTCCAGTATTCGCAAGCATTATGATTCGTTGCCCTTCAGGTTTGTACTCTGATTAGTTATGTGTTGTTTGTGTGTTGAAAGTTGTGTAAACTGGAGAGATTGATTGAAAAAGAATGAAATGTGTAATCGTGAACTGATTGGAGCTAATCTAGCTACTTAGTGTTGTAATGAAAAATCGACCAGATATCTATTTAGTCACTGTTTGCTAATTATCTTATAGTAGAAGATTTCAACTAGGCTTGTTTCCCTTTTCTGATTGCTGTATTTTCTTCTTTTTGTTGTTTTGCTGGTATGAACAGTTATGCTCAGGCGGGGTTTGACATGAAAGATGTCTTTCTCCACATAAAATTGATAGAACAGGCATCTGTTTATGAGCACCCTGCTATTTTTTTCCAAGAAGTGACATATAATGACGTTCAGAAGCCTACAATGAAGCTCACATTTGCTTGCAACTCTTCAATTTCATGGTCGGCGATGTCTGGAGCGTTGGAGGGCTCTGACATTCGCTGCGAGAAGATACAGATCTTTGAGAAGAAAAAATTTACTCTTGGAGTCATTCTTTTTGCTAACCTAGATGCCCAAGATGAGCTCTTCAAACCCAAAGTTGAAAATGCTCTAAAATTGGCTATTAAGAAGCCAAAAACCAACACTGTGAAACTTCCATTTGGATTTTGTGGAGGCCAGGATGGTAACACTCGGGGGAAGGATCTGAGAGAAATCGAGGAGGATGCTATTGAACAAAATTGCAGAAGTGGTTTTGAGAGATTGAATTCGAATGAAAATTTACAGATAGAAATGCCCTTATCTACTTCATCTTTTGCTGTATCTGTCGATGAATGGCAAACGGTCCAATCTGGTGGACATGAGCTGGGTAAATGGCTGCTGAGCTCTGAGAATCTCGAGTTCAGTGATCAGATTGGACCCAACTCGTTCAAGGGAGTCTACAAGGGCAAAAGAGTATGTATAGAGAAGATTAAAGGGTGTGAAAAGGGAGTTTCTTACAAGTTTGAGCTCCGGAAAGACTTATTGGAGCTGATGACATGTGGGCACAAGAACATTTTGATGTTCTATGGTGTTTGTATTGATGAAAATCATGGCTTGTGTGTGGTAACCAAATTAATGGAGGGTGGATCAGTACATGAATTAATGTTGAAAAACAAAAGGCTTCAAACGAAAGAAATAACCAGGATTGCTATTGATGTTGCAGAAGGGATGAAATTCATGAATGACCATGGTATTGCTTATCGAGATCTTAACACACAGAGAATCTTGATAGACAAGAACGGCAATGCTTGTTTGGGTGACATTGGCATACTCATTGCATGCAAAAACTTGGGCGAGGCAATGGAGTACGAGACTGATGGGTATCGGTGGCTAGCTCCCGAGGTCTGTTCACTATAACTTTGATTACACTTGGTATTATCTAAAACAAGTTTCAATTACAGTATGCATTGAAAGAACCCTATAGATATCTATCTGCTTTTAGCTGAACAATGCAACATCTTCTCGCTTTTTTGTGATGTAAGTAGTGTTTGGATTCATTGCATTAAACCGCATGGGATGAGCCTTTTCAATTAAAGAGACTTTCTGTCACTTCCTCTATGATGGTCTAGTGTGTATGGCATACAGTCATGATCGAAGATGCTTTACACTCATCAGTCTTGGGTTAATATTTTTCTAGGTGCTTTCATATTCATTAGACCATTAGGTTTAGATTTCACTGCATCCATCCGTTTGGCAGCAACATTGAATTGTTGCCACGTTCTTCTTGACTGTTTCATTTTGTGGATCCCGCCATCTTAAAGCTGCTTTAGAGGGAAATCTGCCCTTTCTTTCAGGGAATTTGAAATTCCTGTAGATCTCATCTTACTACTATCCTTTACTTGTCACAGCCTATTTATGTACTTCTCAATTTGATTGCTTAGGGTGTTATTAATTTGTGTTTGTTGGCTCTATTTGGTTTGGCAAAGATTATTGCTGGCGACCCGGAGAGCGTTAACGAGACATGGATGAGTAATGTATACAGCTTTGGAATGGTAATATGGGAGATGGTGACGGGCGAGGCAGCATATGGTGCATATTCGCCAGTGCAGGCAGCAGTTGGTATAGCTGCTTGTGGTCTTAGACCTGATGTTCCAAAGGACTGTCCTCCCACCCTGAAATCTCTAATGATCAGGTGCTGGAACAATTGCCCATCAAACCGCCCCCAGTTCTCTGAAATTTTATCAGTGCTGCTGGACTCCAACAATAACAAGCATAGATAAAGTAAGTATATTCCTCTTAATCTAAATGGATTCAAAGTCTACTCTTATAAGGTTATTGTAAAGTGTTCCTTTTTCATGTAGAAGATATGCTCTGCGTTCAATGTAGATATGAGAAGTTCATGTTTTGAAAATGTTAATCCAATTACTTCTCATAATGTATACAATGATTTTCAAAGGAAAAACAAAAGAAATACCAATCTTCTTTCGAGTCCGAACTCTAGGATTAGTTTAGATCTTCTTAACTTTATGTTAGTTTATATTATAAGGTTTTATGTGGATATTCTATAGCGTCATCTTATGATAGAACACATAATCTAGCCTTGATTCATGCATTTCTTTACTTTTTTTTGTACAATTACACGGACGTTTGTAAATTTGTTATCTGTGTTTTCCCCCCCTTGACATGTTCTACTGTTATGAAGATTCATGGCAACGTTACTGAATAATTTGCAGTCTCTTTTGGAGAAATAAATGATGAGGAAGAACAGATTAGAGGAGAAAGTTAGGATTGATTTATTGGTTGGGTTAGTGGGAACATTTTGCCTTAGTGGACATGATATCTCCAGGGGTCAAATTATTACCTACAAGGCCTTAGTGGGAACTTTTAGCTGCATTGAATTATACACTATGCCAAAACATAAATAGTAATTGTTTATAGCACAACATTTTGGAAACATTAAATGACTTGATGAACAAACTTACGAAAGAGAACAATCGTTTGGCTTCCTCTCTGATCTGTTCCAATTAGAAACAAAAGTAAGAACCTGGCCTGCTTGCTCTCCAAGAAAAACTATTATTTGGATTCGGATAATGAGTCATGAGCTGAAATGATGTTTATTGTAAATGATAATAAATAAATAAAAAGCTTTTTATATTTTATTGGTAATTATTGTAAATTCTCCCAGATGGCAGATGGCCTCTCTAACACGCATTCAGCTGTAGTTAGAGTTAATTATTTATTTTAATAGTTCGATTATAATTTATGGTTTAATCATGCTTATCTAATACGCTAATGTATAATTAGAAAAACTTTTGATTTTGTAACTTAATTAATTATGATATACTTGTTTAAATATTAAAATACGAGGTTTTGAATTATACCCATGTTCTTTTTTTTTTTGTCACAAATTTAAATAGTTATTGTTATATATATTTTTATTGAATTATGCTCGAATTATCTTAAAAATGACATGTTTATGTTATTATTAAATGTCGTGAACAATTATTATAAACCAATTAATTTTTAATATTACATTTAATAGTCGTTAAATTGTAAAAGTAATATATGATAAGCCTCTAAACCATTAATTTTGTGTTCGGCCATTAAATTAAAAATTTTAAATTTAATATATTATTAGATAAAATAAAAAATTTGAAAATTTAAGTTCTTTTATAAAAAACAAGTTAAATAAGAATTTCCTGACAATATGCCACGTGACTTTAAAGCTTTAAAATCCAATAACATTGCTGCATTGTTTAACGATTTTTTTTTTATTAAAAACTTAATTAAACAAATTAATGTCAATAACACTAATTATTTTCTTTGAAACATTACAAAAAAAAAAAAAAAAAAA